TGGATTTGATTTTCTTTTCATAGCAGTTTTTATTGATGGAGATCATTATGCCCTTTAAGATTTTCCTATAAAAAATAAAAATAAATGACTGTCTCGTGCCTGTTGACAGAAAGAAAAAGAGCTCACCAGCGTAGTTTAGATCCATGGATTGGCTTGTCTTCAGCTCATTCTATGCCTACATCAATTGACGTAGTAGTTTGTCTTTATATAGCTTCTCAGGGAGCTTGCCTAGAAATATAGTGCATGATACCAAGCAGCAGTCAGCCAGTGTACGTTAAGCAAAGCAGGAAGGAAACATCTTTCTCCTGACACATTATCCAACTTGGCCAGTCATGACACCTGTTGTTTGTGGCTCTTGCACTAGACAGTGATGTCACAGTTTGGAATCAGGAGTGTTTTGGTCATGGTTTCTAGATAAGTGTATCTGTGCAGCTCTTCAAATTGCTGGTGCCTGTGAAGCCTTGTCACTACCTGCTTTTATGCTGTGCTTGTATATCCCAGGTGGGTTTGGGAAGACATGAGGTTCATGGTGACATCCTTCCAGGTCAAAGTTGTTGATCTTCACATGTATTTCTGCTGTGATTTTTACACTGTCTCTTTCTGACCCTGCTTAGGTAACAGCTTAATGTGGGTTAAAGCCTGTTTTGAAATAAGCTGCTTTTGTGACTCTTCCATTTACTTGCATAGTTCCTCCCAGACTGAACTGAGACAGGATCATTAGTTTGCCTTCATAACCGCTTTTCTGAAATGGCATAGTGCTGCTGCATCCTTGTAGCATGGTATCCTATTTTCACAGAAAGGCTCACAGGTCAGGCAGAAAGAATGTTACTGGGATGGAGCCCTTTGTAACCCCAGCTTTCTTAGAAATCTGTCAGTAAAAAGAGAAGTAGTCATATGGGTGTATATGTATGAAAATTTAATTATCTTAAAGACTGAGTAGGGTAAAAATCACAGAGTTTCAGAGGTTAAACATTATGAAGTATCAGCACTGAGTTAATGATACTGTATGCCTTGCATACTTTAGAGAATATTTCAGCTATTGTGAACAATGGTACTTGAAAAATGCTTGGAACAAAGGATATCAGGAGTTCAGGATTAATATTATTAACAGAGCAGCGCTGCAAAAATAAACTTTACCTTTTTAGGTATGGATGTTTTTTATTTCCAAATACATTTCTTCCTTATTATAAAAGCAAAGTAAAGAGTATGCAAGGAAAATTGGCACCCTTAAAGTTGCCAAGTGACTTGAGGCTGATGCTTTAGTCTTGCAGAAACCACAAGCAAACCCCCAGATCTAATTAAAGAATGTTACCACTGAGTTCACTGTATCCAGCATAGCATGCTGGAGACTGAATCCTTCCCAGTACTTACGCTGCAGCAACCCCACCAGCTTGTTCCACTGGGGAAATTGAAAGCAGAATGCACCCAAAGCAACACAAATAATTCAGTGTTATATTGGATTAGTTTTAGTAAGCTAATAAACAAGACATGGCACTTCCAGAGTTTTGTCATCCTGCTTTTGCAGTTACCTCCCAAATAGTCTTTTATTGTCTCATCTGAATACAGTATATACAGGCAGGAACATTAGAAGTGGCATTAACACATTTTTCTTTTTTTTGTTAATCTATGAGATAACCCACAATATTGATTATTAACAACCTCATCTACAGTGCAGAGTGGCTTCAGCAGTTCTGCAAATTGCTACATTTTAAGCTGTTAATTATGCAGAGTAGTTCACAGAAATGAGCGTGACTTGGCTCTGTTCACAGAAGAATAAATTGTAAGAATTGGATCTCTGTTACATTTTAATTTTTGCTTCACAAGGAACATGAACATTCCACACAATAGGCTTGGCAAGTATAGATAATTTACTCTAATAAATAATCAGAATATTTTCAGTGTAAAATGGCATACATGGCAGGAAGCCTGAGGGTGTTGGGGTTCTGCGCTGTTCTGGGCTTATTAGAAAAGAGTGCTTTTTATCATTTTGTCTTTCTGACAAACATTTCAAATCTGAGTATCTCATAAATCATAACAAATGGAGATTTTCTTTCTTCCCTGCCTTCACCAGCTATGCTTGTATGTGCCTAAAACAACTTGCCAATGTTTTAGAGTTACTGTTTGCCTGTTGAAGATGGAAAGGCAGGATTTCCAACATGTGCTGCTAATCTAACTTCAAGGCAAATGACAACCAAGGGCAAGGGGTGAGCTTCTTTGGTTTAAGGCTCTGTAAATACATGCTTTTACGTAAATGTAGATGCAGTGTAACAAATTATCACAAGCTACTTCTAACTAAGGTTTCTACATATACATCAAAGAATTTACAAGCTGCTATCACTACTTCTGAATCAGAACTGTGGATAGTTGTACCATTTTCTTGTAGATTATGTAGGAAGATAAACCATAGAAGGAAAAAGACAGCTCCATAAATTGGAATATTTTTAAGTCTCCTAGAAATGCTTTATTATTAGGAGTTAAATATATAGGTGAATATATAACTGTACCTTTGTAGATACTGCAAAGTTGTAGCAATGTGATCTGAAACCAGAAGGTATTGAAATAAGTATTGATTGTCCAGTGTGTCATAGTGATGAAAACTAGAATGTCGTTGTATAATCAAAGAAGATTAAGATAGTGTAAAATCAAGGAATATTAAGATGTTATAATAATGAAATAAACAAGAGAGTTAAGCAAAACAAGACAAAGAGAATAAATAAGATGCTTACCCATACCCAGGGCTCACTCAGAAAACTCCAGTGGAGTGAATCTCCAGAAGAGATCTTTCACCACTGGTAGTCAGCTCTTAAATGGGTCTAGGAGAGGTGGAGCCAGACTCCACTCCTTCATGCAGCACAGGTGAATTGCCTTCACCTGTGTTCCCATGGCTGACTCATTGCTCACCTTAGGTGGTCAATCAGAGGTTCAGGCTGTGACTCAGCAGTTCCCATACAGTCACTTTATTTCATTTTCTTCCAAAAGTTTTAATTGGGGGATTAAAAAAAAAATTAAAAGAATAAGAACTTTGGAACTTTAACCATTATTCTTTAAACTCATAGAGTTTATTACT